TCGCAACCTGCAAGACTACTAAGTCTCAGACTTCAGAAATGAAGATGTACGTCATTCCATCGGGGAAGAACCCCAAACCACTGAGGTGTTGCTTAAAGGCAAAAGAAACATAGAATGGACATCAGAAGAAGCTCATTATCAATTATTGTTCAACTGTTATTATTATCAGTCAATTAGTTTTGTTACCAGTTATAAAAACAAGAATTTTAGTAGCTATGCATATTTTCTTCCTTGCCCATTATGTATATAATACTGAGTGTTACCGGTGGTTAACTTTACAATTTAGCTGTTAGATTACAAAATATCCAAGGTTTAATAGTGGCAGAAAGAGAAGAAGAATTATAGTCGATAACATTGTAATAACCATGCATGGTGCCAGGTGGGCACTGGAAAAATCAGGGGGCACACTTTGTAATGGAAATGGTTGTCTAACTGCTATGCCATACACCTGAAACCAGTACAAAATAATATGGAATGCAAACTGTAATTGAAAATGTAAAAAAGAATGTGAAATATTTTATATGGTCTGTGGGCAGTGCTCCCATTCAGCCTGTGCATCAGTCACCTTGGTCCACCATGGGGCTGGCGAATTGCCTGGACCAGCACAATGGCCTTGGCCTCACGAGGCTGCCTCTGTCCCCATCTCAGCCACCCGCTATCCTACTTCCGCTGGACTCAAGAATGAAGGCCTCATCAGCTCTTTCCTAACACCACCCCACGACTCTGTTTTCTGATTTTATCTCCTTCAATTAATTAAACAGCACTTTTGCTAGCTTCTTATCTTTTGGGTATTCAGATCACTTGGGCATTCTGCTGCCAGCTCCTAACTCATTGAAACTTTCTAAAATGGAAAAGGTAAGGTCTTGTTTTCAGTTGCCATGCCAACCCCAGCCAGCCTTTTTCCTAAGAGAATTTTTCTTGAGTGCTCTACACTTTCTCACCAACTTCGAATGTGACAGGAATCCTCATTCACGAGCATCTCGGCCAACAGGAACATGGGGCTGCATCCTTAAAATGAGTAACAGCCTTGTACCGTGGGGGCTCTACTTTGATCATCCTTAACATAGTCCTCTTAAGGCACAAATCCCCGGCAAATCCAAGCGACTAGGTTATGAAAATTCTAATTAAGGGCAAAAGCCAAAGCTGCTTTTGGTGGTCATGCGGTTATTCTGCCAACCTCATTGTCCGCCAAATTAACAAAATACATTTCTAATAACCCAGATAATGCTGGCTAAGAATTCAATATTCAAATTCGTTTAACTCTCAAAAGCATCGGCACTGGTAAATCACATTTCTTGTTTGTGCAGCTGACTCCTAGAAGCTAGCGTGGGTTATATTTCAAAGTAGTGTAAAAAATGAGAAGGAAAGTTTTTATATTTCAGGAATTGTCACACATAACATTTATGATCACTTTTACTACAGGTAACACAAGAGTTTACACTGAACATTGAATACATTAAATAGTAGTCATCTAAGGTAAGCGATGCCCTGATTTGCTTGTTTTCTAGATAGCTACAGGTTCAGGCCACAGGTGGATCTCACATACAGTTTATGGTAACTGGCTTTTAAACTCTCAAAACGTGAGGAATGTGGAAAGCCCACCCCCACATCCCTCATGGCCCACTGCCGCTATCTTCATACATAAAATCTTTTCTCGTCACTGGAATCGCTCATGTAAGTTGCGAAGCGGACGTGGACCTCGGGAGACGCTGCAGGTCTGATGCCACCCCACGTAAGTTCAACTCTTGCTGGTACATATTCCCAAAGCTCCGGTTCAAAGAAAACCCTTAGGCCTCCATCTGAATTTCAGGCAAAGGGTTCAGACTGCCCATTTCCTCCTGGCCCCGGATTCCTCTGGGGCCTATCTCTGGCCTTCTCTTTAGCTGTCGGCACCTTCAGAAACAGACTTTTCTCTCTGGGAAGTATTGTGCAGCAGTCTGGATTTTAGTTTATAATTGCATTATGAAGAAGAGTCTGAAGAGAGAGTTACTTAAGAATCACTGCACGACTTCATCTGGGATTTGGCCAACAGCTGTTGGAGTTCTTTTCAATCAGCCTTTTTCTATGAGAAACAGGGATTGAAATTTTATATTTTCTCAAATCCTCAGCCACTGCATCAAGTAGCTAAAAATGATGAAAAATAAAACAATATGGAGCATTTTCAGAATTATACATTCACTTTTGCTTCGCTTACCCCAAAATGAAGAGAACTGAGCAAATTTCATGGTAGCATATGTAATTTGAAGTAGATCCCTTTTACTGGAGTCCAGAATCTTCTCGGGTGTACTGTAGGGGGGCAATCTGTTGTTGCTGGCAGGCTTGGCCTGTAACTGATAAAGTTCTGCAGTGACAAAATACAGTTTTTATTGTCCTGGAAGAAAGGGTTGACTTTTGAAATATCTGGTAGTTTGCAAATTTAGAGCAAACAAGTAGTCTATTTTAAGAGTCTCATTGCTCCTAAGAGTGGAAGTAGGTCAAATTTTTCCTCCTTAGTTCCGGGATAGATACACAATTCTGTTAAACACCCATTACTGCAAAATTCCAGAGATGGTCACGCTCTCAGTTTCCCATTAGAAAATAGCTCAGACCCTTCGACAATAAATATTAGAGAATACTTATGAATTGCCAGATACACAACAACTCAAACAGGAGCTGTGGATTCAGGGTTGGATGCAATAGGCCAAGGACCCCGTGGTGGCAGAACTCATGTTGCTCCTTCCAAAAGGGCTTCCGGAGTGAACTGACGCACTAACAAAGTGTTGAGAGGGTGAACAAGCGAGTGCTCTTCACTGAATGTGTGAAGTCACAAATGTGATAAAAGCCATGAATAAAAAAACAAAACACTACACCAAGGACTTCTGCAATGTTCTTGTCCTTTATGCAACAGCAAGGTCCCTGAATTCTTCACTAGTGCCAGTGGGGGATGAGCCAAACTCTACTGGTTCTGTGGGGAGGGTGGTTTTCTGGAAACCATCTTGCTGAAGGGGGAAAAACACTCCTTTCTGGGGAGATTCAGACCGAGAGCTGTAAACGACTCTGGCAGGATGGGCGCTAAAGGGAGAGGATATTAGCAATTAGAAAAAGGCTGTGTTGCCAGAGGCTACATATGATGGCATTAGAAGCCACATGCGGGAATTAGGCAGAAGACATGTGCTGGTCTGGTTAAGCTCAAAGCCTCCAACAGACCACCATGAAATGACTGTAGGACAGCCAGAGAGGCGGCCGAATGCACCTCTATTGTCTCCTGGCTGGGAGCCCTGCTTTGCAGTGCAGACTTCGGGAGAGGGCTGAGAAATCGTGCCCGCACACCTGCAGGCTCTGCTCCGTTCTGTCCAGGCAGGCCCCAGTCTGGGTATCCAGCCCCGCTACACCAGGCCTTTTCACCTGGAAAAGCACCAACCTAGAACCTTCCCAATACTGCAGGGAGAGAGGAAAAAAGAAGAGAAGCAGCCAGAGGAGGAGAAAGAGGGAGAAAGGAACCACTGCTCTGCTTTGCAAGCGATTGGAGGTTTTGGAGGCGCTGGCTGTCTGTGGAGCAGCTGCTCCTGTCCGCAGTCAGACGCGTCCCACCCACCTGGGCACCTGGGCTCCCTTCTCCATCTGCCTCTAATTATCTCAGCCACACTGAGGGTTGTTTGTTGGTGGCAGTGAGGGGTTTTTTTTTCCTTTCCATTTCCTATTAATTTTTCCTGCCTTAGTTTTGTTTTCCTTTCAATAATGTACATCTTGAATCAATTCATGTGCCAAAGCGGCACAACAACCAGCCCAAACATCAGCAGGCTGCTTGGCTCACTTGTAAAATCTGCTATTACTCCAAAAATACTTAAAGGAGGGGCCTTCCCTTTTAGCCATGAACTTGCCTTTCTACTTCTCGAGGAGGCTAAGAAGAGACCTAGCACAGACCCACGGCTCTTCCAGAGAGAGCCGTCCCTGAAGCAGATGAAAGTGGTAGGAGGAGGCCGTATCACAGGGGGGGCCTGGGCTTAATGCCTGGTCGGATACTTAGGAAGTTATTTCTGACATTTTTTAAAGAACCTGGGTCCATGTTTATTTTCATTGTTAAAGAGTTTATAATCCTGGACATTGAAAATAAATATGTTTTGCATTTCCTAACTTGAGGTGGTGCTCTTAAGTGGTGTTGTTTGGTTTGAGCTGCATTTGATTGTGTTACAAACTGGTCCGGTTCCTTCAAGAAGCCACAGGCTGTAGACACTGAATCATTCACCCAGAGAAGGAATTAGGAGGATCTGGCAGCTGCTGCTAGTGGTTAAAACAGAGACCGAAGTGGAACAAAGCGCCTCCCTAGGCAAAGTTCCAGCTCCTCAAGCCCACATGGAGAGAGGAGAATGTCACACGCTGTTGAGAGCAAACCTCTGTGCACCGTGAAGCAAAGGTGATTCCCTGTGTCAGAGAGTGGACTTTGGCATCCTGGGGCCAGGGGTCAGCAGGGCCTAGTGGGTCAGCTGCTATTCTCTGTCATAGTCTGCAAGGCTGGTGGCTCAGGGATTCTCCTCCTTATACAATTCCACAGCTCCTGGCTACCTCCTGTGGCCTTTGAAATCGCCTGTTGTCTTGTGACCACTCTCCTGAAGATGGCGAAACCAGTTACAAATACACTGCATCTCAATGGGTCAAAGAATGATGTTAAAAACTGCAAAGTGATTAAGTGAAGGAAACAGGACTCAGCCTTGCCTCCAAGGTGAAAACAAAATAGAATCTGCAGATAATAAAGGACTGGAAAGATTTGTATTAGAAGTGTAGAAGCGATTATACTCGTGTTAGGGGCTTCTGCGTCACTTTGTGTTTGAAATACTCATATTTTTATGTGTTGACTGTTACTCTTCAGTGTGACATAAATACCCAGGTTCAGTATATCCTCTATTCCAGAAATGCTTTCTGAGCACATACTGTGTGTTTGTTGCTTTGCGGGGGAAGGAAAGCTGAGCTAATCCCCAGTTGTGACCTTGAAATTTTGTCTCCCATGGCTTGCACATCACCAGCCCCTCATCCTGGATCATACCACCCAGCTTTTATTCCAGTCTCAGAGCCTGGGCGAGACTCCATCCTGACCCTCCTCAGACCCTGCTCTGATTTTCTTCGTGGAACATGTCCACATGTATCTCTAAAGGTATTGTTTAGTTTTGTTTTTCTGGGGGGAGGTGGTGAAAATTATACGCAGAGACTAATCCTGTCTTTGCCAGCCTCAATTTATGTAGCACAGGTTCGCTGTGGGAATTATTATAATATCATAAGCCAATAGCATACAGGATAATATCTCTTACTCAGTAAATTAAATAAAAGAAATAACATACTTCAAACACAAAACAGATTCATCACATTATTGTTCCAGGCAAGATGAGATGAAGGAATAAAAGTCCAAATTTAATATAAGGTATACCTTTTTATAGCAGTAGGCACTCCAAGGAGACAACAACCAACCAAAACCGATTTCCATGCAAAAGTAAAAGTCCCCCTGTGAAAAGTCTCTGCTCTCTACTCCTAGTGTGAAGTTGCTCTTTCACTCCGTGGTTTCGGGCTCAGGGGAACAAACAGCTCATCAACCATCTTATCACGCAGACCAGCGGCACTTGAGGCTTCAAGGCTATTGTTGGGTCTACAGCTGGAGCTGGGGAGATGGGTGGTTCCCTAAAATCCACCTCCCTCTGGGATGTGCACCGCCAGATGTCTGCCAGTGATTCAGGAACCCGTCTCCACTTTCCTCCTTTGGGTTTTTCCCAAGATTTCCCAAACTTCCCGGATCTCTCCAGATCCAATCTCTTGTTTTTATCTGATGACACCTCTGCTGGGAATTTAGGGCTTTCTGTGGCGACAGAAGCAGAAGAATATGCACACCTCCGCATCTCTGCCCTTCACTGAAGATCGTTTTGTGGAAATTGTCAGTACATGTGTTTGTAAACACCTGATACCATTTTTCATGAGTGAGTATATCCTAATAACACTGGATTGTCGAATTCTTTTGTTCTTTCCTTGTAATGTTTCCAAACTGAATGTGACTGTCAACTTTTTTTGAAATATTTTTATTAATTTATTTTTAGGGAGTGGGGAAGGGAAGAAGAAAGAGAGGGAGAGAAACATTGATGCCAGAGGGAAACACCGATTGGTTGCCTTCCGTACATGCCCCAACAGGGGACTGAACCCTCAACCCAGTCATAAGCCCCGACCTTTGATTTGAGGGATGGCACCCAACCGACTAAGCCTCACCAGTCAGGGCAGCTATCAACTCTTCGTCATCTACTACAGGCCAAGCAGATAAGAAAAGTTTTCCAATGAAGAGTTGGAAATCACAGAAAATTTGAAATTGGGGTTCAGCACGACCTGCTGCCTGGGCAGGTACACCTTTCTCTTCTCTTTGACCAGCCAGCAAGGGAAGAATACATTCTAGAAGCAAAGTTATATGGAGCTCAGTTTACTTATGAGGCTAAAAGAGAGTTGCATTTCTTATTATGTAAGAAACTAGAATTCTTAAAGACCTGTTGTTAGGCTTTCAACTAACACTTGTGAAGAATTTTCAGGAGCAGGGGGAGCTCATTTGAGGGAGCCGTGTCTGGTTTGAGGTCCCTTGTCCTCTGTCCCTCACAGTTCTACCAAGGAAAACACATTTCGATGAGATTTCACCCTCAAAAAACCACCTCATTTGACTAAGCAAGATCCCTCTCCAGTGTTCCCTTCATCCTGTCCAAGAATCAGCTTCAACTTCCACTGCAATATTACTTCAAGTCATTTTTTAGATAAAATTTACGTATTTTTCCACTTTTGTTTATTTTTGCCCCAAAACCTTTGACATTTCCCTCCAGTGAGTCACACCATGGGAGCGTTTCAAAATGACCTCTTTAAAGAATATTCCTTTTCCTAGGGGAGATGGGAAACTGGTAAGTGACAGCTGTCCCAATATGTTCCTATATAGCATATGGATGTTTTACTAAAGAAATGCCATTTCACGTGCTACCAAAGCCACTCAATTAATGGACTTACAAAAAGACAGCTTTCTAGATATTTCCCTGACTCCACAGAGGCAAGATGGAAAAACTAAAGCATGGTTATGCAGGGTTTATTCAAATCAGCTGGATGTGAGTCAGTCCTGAAACAAACCCCATGTGGAACCCTCAGTGGTCAAGGCTGAGCCTTCTCCATGGGTCTCCCAGCAGAGCCATGGCAGTAGAAGGGCTTCTCTTCCTCTTTGCAAATGCAACCCCAAGGTCAAGTCAACTCACTGCCCTGGCCTCAGCACAATGCAGCAACAACATTCAGCAAGCTTCCCCTGGCCTGCTCTCTGTCATGAGAATGAGGAGACCAGTGTGAACATTGCCTCTGATTTGAGATTCTATGGAATTCTAAATTTCTCTGGTGTCAACCAGCATGTGGCCAGACTCTCTGTCTCTTACCTGCTCTAACCCTCTTCTCAAGTTTCTGCCATCCTCACCTCTCCAGTGTTCAGGCGCCCGAGGAACCCAAACACTCTCCTCCTCAGGGCATCTGCCAAGCAGATTGAGCCCACCAGGGCCGATCCTCAGGGCTCTGCTTCCTCCGCAAAACCACCCAGAAGGCAGTTCTTTCTCTGAGATCCTGAGGCCAGATTTTATTTATTTACATTTGTATATGTATATGTGTATATCATTGTATAAAATATAAGCACAAAATTCTATAAAAATCAAAACATACTTTAAAAACTGTCTGTTCTCCACCTATGCCTATAACCCAGCCCCTTCTCTCCATTGTTACTAGTTTCTCATTCATCTTGCTAAAGACATTCTATTCTTTACAAAATGTCTGTGTCTCCCTCCCTAATCTTCCTTCCTTTCCTTTCCTTTTCTTTCCTCCCTCCCTCCCTCCCTCCCTTCCTTCCTTCCTTCCTTCCTTCCTTCCTTCCTTCCTTCCTTCCTTCCTTCCTTCCTTCCTTCCTAATGAAAGCATACTATATTGTTAGCACACACTATAGGGCCACTTAAATTTAGATTTGTCCTCTCAAACAGTGCTCTCCAAACCTTTATGTTAACAACCTTACCATTAGGAAGTCGTTGAAGACATACCAAATGAATCTAATTAATTATTCATTTATAAAGTATAATCATGCCCCAAATAATATTTATATTATGAAATATGAATCAAAATAGAAACTTTAGAAAGATAAAATAAAGGTGAAATTTTAAATACTTAATTATTTTAAAGTTATATATTTTTGTAGCACAAAATACTTTGTTTTCTAAAATAGGACTGTTAATATTTTTAACGGGATCAGTGGGTTGAATATGCTTAGTCATGTTTGGAAAACCTTGGGGTTACTGATTGTGAAGTAGCAATTCAAATGTTTGGTTCTCTGCTCACTTCATTTTGCCTCTGGGTTTCAGATTCCATCAGAGCTGAAGGAGACACCTTCCAGAGATGTGTGGATCCAAATGGAAGAAATGTCTCACTTGCTGAGCTTTCCTAACTGTCCTGCTCGTTTTCTATCCCACGTATCTTTATGCAAGGAGGTTTGTTGAAATATTGCCTGACTTAGGGTGTTTTTTTGTAATACGCATACATTAGATGGAAATGTATCCAAACATCTGTTTCCAAATGCTCTTGCTGTGGATTAATTTCTTTTGAAAAGAAATTACTTTCTCACTAATTGTTAAATGACCACTTCTACCTTGAAAGGACAGATAATGTGTTTACTTTTAAAAAAAATACATGCTAGATGACCTACTAAGAATAGCTACTCGCCAAGGCTCATCTGCAACATCTGTCTTTTTGTCAGAAAGGAAACAAGTGCCTCATTCCCGGGTTCCATAACTCCTTTAAACACACTGCCCTGAGCTAGTCTGCGTCCTGCCAGAGACCTATGTGGCCATCCACCGCATGGTGACATGTCAGAAGATCCTCTGGGAGGGCTTTGTTTATGAAGTTAATCACACCAATAACATCCTCTAGGCATGGAAACTGCAATTCTTGGCCATAAGCTGGACCTAGGACCACAAGAAGCTGCCTCACTCCTCCTCCTGACAACAGCCCCTCCTTGCGTAAGTTGTCTGCTTACAGTAACAGCAGTCACGTGACAAATCCATCTCAGGGCTGGTCCAGGGGAGGGCACCTGAACGGATGGGTATTCCTGAGCATCTCATAGGGGGTGTGCCCCCTGATTGGAGCATTCTACACAAAGGACTCTCTCTGGTTAAACTCAAAAACTTGTTTTTCTTTAGCCTCTTTTTCTTTTACTTCTTTAAAGTAAAATACCTGGAAGATTCAGTGTTCACAGGAGCGTGTACCCTTAGAGGAGTTGGCTAGTGGGGCTCTGGGAAGGCCTGGCAAGGAGACCTCCACCCAACACCCTCCACGGTCCCAGGGCCTGGGACAGAGATGGTGAGAAAGGCAACGTCAACGGCTTCCACTTACGGAGCTATTGTTTTGTGTCCTCCTACTCTGTGCTCAGTAAATGAAGTTGACTCTCTTTGTTTCCTGTTCTTATTTTCTATAACATCTCTGCAAACACTGAATTGAAGAATTCTGAACCATTGCTTCTAGGGGAAATACAGGATTTGGTTCCTACCAGCTGTTGGTCATAATGGTTTTGTCAACCAGTCAATACAACACTATGTTTTATGTGTATTTCTGCTTAAAATTTTTTTTTTACTTTACAACATTTACTTTATATTGACTCATTACATGGAACTCATGGCCAACAGCATTAGTACTTGCACCCACTGGAAGGTTAGCTAATATACTTTGTTCATAAGGCACATCCCAGACTTCTTGCATTTACAGACAGTAGGTAGCACTTCGGCTCTATGCTTAGGAGCCCTTTAAATAGCAAAATCACCAACGAAAAGCACAAACATGAAAGTGTGGCACTAAATAGACCAAAAAGGGACATTTTCCCGATGGGAGAGCTGCCGTGAGAAGGCGGAGTGTGGCCTTGTTGGCCCTCAGCTGACTGCGTGCACAGGTGTGACTTAAAGCTCTGGTCACTCCGCACATGCTCCTGGTGACACCAAGTATTGATTGGAGGACGACAAATAAATTTTTAGCAAGGAGGGGAATACATCTATGGAATCCACGAACAATGAGGGTTGACTATGTCATTTAAAGGGACCCTTGTGAAATAGGTACTGTTACAGGGACAGGTGAGCCCCAGCAATCCCCTCTCCTGGCTACCATCCCTGAGACTTTGGTTGGCTGTTACAGAGAAGTGACTTATCCAGAAAAAGCCAGTGCATGTTTGACATGCATGCGACTAAATCCCAGGTCTCACAGCCACAGTTGGTGCCCTCTCTATGACATATTTATGGGACCAAATGCCATAGTTTGGACTTGCATGTGGGGCTCTATATAAGAATTCTTGCCTACTCTCCTGCCCAACTCTAGTGTCTTCTCTGAAACACTTAAAGTCTGCTTGTGATCAGAATGTTTGATTTGATGACTTACAGTAGGTGGGCCCAATATAAAATATGAAAAAAAAAACAAAGGAAGATCAAAACCTGAATGAAATAAGGCACAAAATGAGATGTTAAAAGAACTCCATAAAATATTTGCAGCAAGAACAAGCTTTGATTTTTTTAAATTTAGTTCTCCAAAGAGCCAATTCATAGATGGATAATATGAGAGGGTAATGAGAGGAAAACAGCCAGACACACTGTAGAACCTCAAAGATATGAGCTCATGATGAGTAAATAGGAGAAATGTGCCAAAATGCGATATTGTAATAGGAAATTTACTAATGTATGCATATTTTCAAATATGTATATTTTGATGCCAGGTTATCTCTTTCTCTTTTTTTTTTTTTGCTACTTCAATAACTATACAAAATTAAGTCATTATTTGGCTAAAAGGAGTACAGAATCTACAACCCAAATTAAAAATGGCTCATAATGAATGTGGCCTGCAGGCTGTTTGATAAATGTGAATACTCCAGATAAACCAACAAAGTGTTTTAAAAAAGAAAGAAAGAGAAGGAAAGGGCAAAGATTCAGTATGTCTTCTAACTAAGGTCTTCTGCTTATCATCAACTGTTGTATCATTACTTTTATATCTGAGATTTCTGTTTCAAAGAATTTCAGGCTACCTTTCATGTTATGACTTTCTACATTCTAGAGTCTTCCTTACCACCATTGTAACTTCACCGGTTCCTTCCGTGATGACTGAGCCATTCTTATCTAATAGTATTTACCAAACACCTGCCAGTGTGTGTTCTGGCAAAATCCTGCTCTTTATGCAACAAGGTGTTGTTACAGCTCTATTTATTCATTGTACTTTTCATATATTCTTAGGAGGAAATTTAAAATTCCTGTTCAGGGCCCCAACATCCCATTTATCCACATCTATCTTAATTGGTGTCTCAGAATCCATTCTTTTCATCTTTTAAGTTAAAAATGTAAGTCTCACTCATGTGCCACATTTTCTTGAAGTTATTTTCATGATGAACCACCTCTCTCTCCAAACGGGATCACACTTATCATTTCAAGGGTGACTTTTATTGATGAGCAACATTTTGCAGAGAGAAAAAAGATGGTTTTCTTATTTATATGACATTTTCCATTTTGAAAATTTTCTTTTCAAAAATTCACACCCCTGATATTCTCTTTGAAGAAAATAGCTCATCCATCAATAAGGATCCCATCCTTTTTCATAAATGAATCTATCAATCATTTCAAAAGCTCTCAGAGGCTGGTCAAAAGGTAAAATGTGTCCTGCACCCCGAACAATGACCTGAAAGAAGTAAAACAAAAGAAAAATAAAAAATTTGAGAAATGCATATTCTATTTTTTTTATTTTCTTCATCTTTTGTGGCTTATTTATTTATCTATTGAAAGCTTTTATTGAGATTGAAGTATTCTGAAAGCCTGCGTGGATACAGAACTTATTTTTTTCATTCCATGCCCTCAGATATGCCAGCCTCTTGCCTTTGGCAGCTTTAATAATAGGTACCTAAAGGTGGGAAAGTTTTGAAGTTGTGTAGTTATTTAATTTTACATAAAGTTGAGTTTATCATTAACTTGTATAAAACTAGAAAATTCCTTCTTGTCTTTTTCTGCTTGGGAGGGAGCTGTTGGCTCCCCTACACTGTGCTATGATTCTTACCTGGTTAGGCCCTGAGGTACAGGGCACCCACCGGAGGGATCTGTCCCAGCTCAGCTCTGCCTGCAGCTGGGTGGAGGAATTTACTCAATTCCACCCTTCATTTCGCTGGTCCACTTGGCCCTCACACTGAGCTGTACTTTTCACATCAGCCTTTATCATGAATAAATGAAAACCAAAAACAAAACAAAACAACAAGAAACAAAAAATTTTTACCACCCGAAATTTTAAAAGGCCATTGTGTTTGAGCAGCACAGAGTGAGTTCTCCCAACATTTCATTGGGAACAATTTTCAAACGTAGAGAAAATTTGAAAGATTTTCATATACACACCATTTTGATTCTCTCATCAACCCCCACTTTATTCACTTTCTCATACATGTATCCCACTATTTAGTATGAATATATCGTATCTTTTTGATACGTTTCAACGTCCTATAGCAATATCAGTACACTTTCCCCTCAAGTTGTATGCAAAATTAACGCACAATGACATGCACTAGATTTAAGTGTAGACTAAGTTTGGAAAGCAGTGGGCACCTGGGTCCCCTCTCAAGATATGTAAAACAAGTCACACAATTATAAGTGAGTGAATGAGCTAGAACCCTGGCTGCTAATGCAAACCAGTGTTTTTAATCAAATCATTGTCCTTGTCCCAAAATGCTTTCCTCTTGGACCAGACTTTACAGCTTAGTCACAGAACAGAACATTTTGCCCCTCTCTCAGCAGCCCTCCGAGGTGGGCCCAGGAAGCAGACCACCATCACAGACGTGCGCTCGCACACCGCAGAAAACACCTGCCCTGTGCTGCGCTCTGCCGAAGGCCGTCTGTGCCCTGCTGCAGTGATAGCGGGGCCATCTACCACCAGCGTCCAAGCTTGCATCTGGAAACCCAACATGTCCCACTTGTTGTCACAGGCTGAAAGTGAACAGATGTGCGACAGGAGCCCCTGCAGATGACTCTCGTGGAAAATGTTTGCTGTCCCCACGCTCCCAGGCCAGAGTTCTCTTCCTGTGAGTTCCCATCCAACTGTCTGGCCTCAGCAGGAATATGATACACAATTTTTGTGCAACTTCAGCTCAGCCAAGGACAAAATAAAGTTATGTTTGTGACAAAACCCACCTGCTTCAACTGGAAATGAGTTTGGCAGCAATGGCCCAGCACAGCAATAAACTGAATACCCATGAGTTAAGGTTATCCCATCTCCAGGACCAGAGCCGCCACTAATGGAAGGGGGGCTAGCACAGTGCTTTTCTGCCCCAGCTCAGGGCAGGGGGGCCGTGTGTCAGAGTGTGACTTTAGGCATTGCATGCTATGTGCCTTTGGGCAAGTAACTTAACCTCTCTTAGCCTCTGTTTCCTTAACTATACAATAGGAAAAGAAGTATTTCCACTGGGGAGAGCTGTGAGTTGTGTGAGAGATTCATGGAATAATGTCCTTAGAACACTTAGCACAATGCTTGGGATGATACTCAAGAAATGTTAGTCATTGTCGTTATTCTTCTAACAACTATCTTTATTCAAGATTCAGCATCAAAATGTTTGTATCAACCACCCTGGACTACTGTGTTCCCACATTAGCATCAAAGATCTCGGTTTATGGAGATCGTTTAAAACTTGGACATGCATGAAAGTACCTGAGCTTGTTCAGATGGGCTGCTGGGCCTTCTCCACACAGGGTGCAATTCTGAAGGTTTCAGGCAAGGCCTAAGAATTTGCATTATTAACAATTCCAAGGCAGTGCTGATGCTGCCCGCCCAAGGACTGCTCTTGGAGAACTACTGCTTAGAAGAGCTTTTTCTGTTCTGTGACAAGCCAGGCAATTCTCCATTTACTTCAATTTGAGGGAGGCTAAAGACATTCACTGAATGCTTACTCATGACCTCACCTTAGTGTATTTCTTCCTGGTCATCTGCTCTCCTGGTATTTACATACACACACATTCACACACCTGCCTTTTACGTCCCTGGCAATCATGTGGTCAGAGAGAGAGGACACGGTTGGAGGTTATAATGCTTATTCTCAGTGACCTGCCTGACCCTAGTCCGATTCTGAGCTGCCATATGTAATAACCAAATGCCATCATGAGGGTGTCATTCAGACTGGAAAGGAAAGCTCCTTTAGGAACAAAGTCTTCTTGCTACAAATTCTCAAAGTCCGTTCTCCAGCAGGTTCACATACAGCATTTCACCGATATTACTCTCACAAGTAAGTTTGTGAGCACAAAAAAATATACCCTTCTGTTTACAGCCACGCTGTCCGCCACTCACGAGCAAAGGCCACCCCTCCTTGCGCATGCAGCGGCACGTGACAGGGCCTGGTTACACGTGCAAATGTGAGGAGATTAATGCGCAGGCTCCCTGGGCGGTACTAGCCTCGTCACCAGAAACTGTGTATTTGGGCTGCTTCCACGCTAGAACTGAAACCGCTGGACTCCCGTGTTCCAGATGTTCCAGGGGGTCACAAATGCATCTGAATGTTAAGAAGGTCACAGAGAACGCGCTCAAACTTCAATGTGCTTTGTTTGTTAGAAAATTGTACAATTCTGCCTGGAACTAGAAGTGTGCACTGCCAGTGAAGGCTTCCCAGTAGTGGCTGCAGCTCGAACCCTGTGCCTTACAGACAAATAATAAGCACTCACACAGGGGTCATCGTACCATTATTTTCTGACTCTTTGTGACGAAAAAAAAGTTTTTTTCCCTTTGGAGAGTGGAGGAAGGGCATAAGTTACAAGATTAATAAATATAAAATTCACTGCAATACTTTTTCAGAAAGGAAGGGTTATGATACATTCTTCGGGAGGGGGAATACTTCTCTCCCGGGTGTCTTTTATTTCCGTGTGGTGAGTCCTTCCTTCCCCTGGGAAAGTTCCCAGTGAAAGTACAGAGGCAGCTTGAATATGAGCTCAAACCTCTGTCAATGTGCTTGACTTCACTGTCAGGAGTGAGTGTTACCCCTTCGGCCTGCCAACACCACGATCCACCCCGCCCTCTCCCTCCACCGCCTTTCAGCGCCCGCCCTGCCAAACGCCCTCCTCCCCACACAGGTGTCAGACGAGCAAGACCTCACTTGTCTTAGCAGAACGAGAGAAAGCTGTCCTGCCTTTTTTCCTTTCCAAGAACCCACCTCACAATGAAAGGATTTGATGCGATTAAAAAGTAACCAAAACCTCACTTCCTCCATGTCCGGGTTTATATTTGACATCCACAAGAGGATAAAAAGCACAATCCAATCCATTCATGCCCTTGCTCAATATCTAGCTTTATGATCTATATTTGTAGTTTTCTTTTGGAGGACAGAATGAGCTGGGGAGAGAGCGCGGAGGTTCCAGCAGCGAGCGCCCTGGACCAGGGGTGCCCTGGGGGCTTGGATCCTGACTCACTCACTGGCTTCTGGGTAACACGAAACAAGAGCCAGCCAGCCCGGTGGTATTTGATTTCCTGCACACGGCAGTGCTGGCTGGCTTCAGCAGTGGTGTGCCGCGGTCCTCGCCCTTGCACGCATCGCCGCCCCCTCCTCAGTCAGTGAGGCCACGCGGGTAGCTTGAACTCCGCCACGGGGAGCGTTCCCACCTTGGAAACTGGTCAACACTACGGATCAGCGTGTCCCCCTCCTTGCAACCCGCTTCGCCCCCAGACCGCTGGTTCTCTGACATTTCAACTCTCCTGGTGAAAGAAGAAACATTTGGGCATTCTTTCTTTTTCTCAAAATAGATCAAAGAGACATCCACCCGAGTGGGTAAGTCATAAGATCCAAAACTTTTCTGAAACCCTGGCTCAGGAAATCCGAAGAGCAGGAAGACCAGAAGGTCCTAACGCCGGTGTCCAATCTGGCGTCCCCACTTGGTTCCAGTATGACCGGCAACAATTGTTTCAGGGCTCCACCACCGCTTTCATCGGGACCTTCTCCATGGCGTCGTGGGAGCCCATGAGGTCCAGAGCCAGCCTGTTTGAGACAACCGACCAGACAGGGCATCTAGATTTAACTGTGTTTCATGACCCACAGCCTAACGGGACCCAGGACCCTCCAATGTCCCCAGGTCCCAGGAATTTAAAAATACAACACGGGCCAAGGATGCAACATTTTCATGGTAACATTTGTTGACAGGAAACAAGCCGCACTGTTCACTACCCAAGCCAAGACTGTGCAAAGCAAAAACTGGGCCCTTAGTTCCTCTGTTTCATCCCTCTGCCCATTTCTCTGCCCCACCCTACCTCCACCTAGTTTAACATTCCCACCTGAAATTCCGTTACTCTGGTTACACTTCTGATTCAACAGCAAAAAAAGGTGACTGTTTAAAAAGCAAACCCAATGCCCTCTTTGTTCCTCAAATAGTATTAATTGTTTAAACCCATCTTCCATGTGTGGATAATACTTTAAATGATAAACTTCTTAGTTATTTATTCACTTCCTGTAATGAATTTGTTCTCTGTTAAATTTCAATAGATTATTAAAAACCACTCAACAGCTAAGAGAAAATTATGCACCATTGCCTAGCTGCTCTACCTCAGTAAATAGATCTGCTATCCAATTTATATTTTAAATAATACAATAAATTAGCTCCCTGAGTATTAGCTAAGTGCATATTTGAGTAGATTGATTTAGAAGCATTCTTTTTCTGCTAATAAGTCTT